GGCTCCCCGCTCCGCGGGAAGCCTGCTTCTCCCTCTCCCACTCCCTCTGCTTGTTTTCCCTCTCTCGCTATGTCTCTCTCTGTCAAATAATAAAAAATCTTTAAAAAAAAAAAAAAGAAAGAAAAACCTTAGCTATGTTTCTAGATTGAAAAGTAAAAACTGCAAACCACCATTGTACAAGTGTCTGAACAGGTGGTAGGCAGTGTGAGCAGCTCCTAAGCCAGGTTCAGACCCAGCAACTGGGCTTGAGGCAACAAATCAAGACTGGCTACACCAGCTTTAGTAACCACAGGCAACTGTTTTCTCTGAAAATTCAGAATTACTCACTTTGGGAAGGGTGAGATTTATCTTAAAAAAGAAATGTTCAAAAAGTTTTCTGATCGTATTAGAATATAAGCAGAGTAGCATTTTAGTGCTAATGGGGTACCTATTTAGCCCAAATCTATTTATTTCCTCCTTCTTACAAACTGCCCCCTACCCCCAAATAAGGCAATTACATAGAAATAGTGTTGAGATCACTGTTAGAGCTTTGCTTTGCTATTTCTTTGGTCTGAAAAAGATATTGGGGCTTATGTTTGGAAAAGTAAGTGAAAGGATCAAATGATATAATTATTACATTTTATTTAAAGGTTTTAGAAGATGAATGGTAGAGCTCACAAAGTTACCTCCAACCACAAAGTTGGAGAATTTTTTTAAAAAGAGTGGATACCAAACAACTTTTCGGAAGATAACACCTTATTAGCCTCTTACATTGTTGAAGAGAGCAAAAGAAGGCTTAAGATTTAAAGGATAAAAGTTGTATTTATAAACATGCTAAGGAATACATTAAAACAAAACAAAAAAGAATAAGGAAAAACATATTGTGTCTTTCAGGTTAAATCCTGTTATAAATGATTTCTATGGGACTATAATCCCCTTCAACAATATTCAAATAACAAAAACCCCATCACTAAAAGAGCTCCAATACTCCTTTGGAGCTGGCTATTACAGAATTTATCCTGCACCTAAGGTATGCATGAAAAACATCCTGGAGAGACTCGGATACCTGCCAACATGAAACTGTTTCTCTAAGTTGCACTTGTTGGTCTGGAACCCAGTTGAGTGGGGTTCAACTACAACTTGAAACTTGTCACCTTAGGGTAGGAGAACAATTTGAAGCCAAAGGGCACTTTGCTGTAGTTAATTCATGTGGCTTCAAGTACATTTCAGATGTTCCTCCTCCATGCCAAATATTCACTGAGAATGAAAGACTTGCACATGAAACTTTCTAACCAAGTCCAAAGAATTTAGGTAATCATTACAGTTTCTACATACTGTTTCCTTAAAGCCACAGATTTTATTACAGAAAGGAGAAAGGTCATGGCATCAATAGATCAAGCACAGGAATTCTAGAATACTAAATTAAGTTGTTTCTCTCTTGCTTCCCCCACAACCAATTATATCAGTGGGCTACAAAATCATATGGAACCATAACAAAACAGTGTTTTGCATCATGTCCAAGAAAGACCAATATTTTTGCCTGAGTATCCCATTAACCTTTATCTAGAGCTATTATTCTTGAACTTTCTATAAAAGTTTCTTCTCAAATAATTTAATAATTCTAACAACTTGGAAGGGCAATGTGAAGACCTGAATAATTCAGCCAAGCAGCGAATGCAACAAACCTCATTTAAACCTGCTCTCCTGCCTAAATTTTATATACTAAAATAATCCTTTCTCCTTCACTTCTTCAGGCGTACCCAAAAGAGAGTGCATTTCTTGGCTGTCACAAGTTTTGGGTTGAATCTTCTTTGTTCTTCAATGTTCTAACGAAGGCCCTGGGCCTGCAGCTCATGCCTCTGGCAATTCAGTTTTATTCTCAATGAGAGAGATCTCCAGCACAGGTAAGAGCAGCTGAAAGGCATCCTGAATATAGGAAGCACTGTTTGAGGCCTGTCAAGATTGAAAAAAAGAAAATATCACAGTCACTTAAAAGAGAAAATATGCTAAAAGAAACAAAAAAACAGATTAACTTGTACAATCTAACTGAATCTGTAGCCTGGCAAACAAAAGCATGTTAGTTAAATTTAGAGAGGAAAGAACGATCTAGCTCTTAAGATATGACAGTACCAAAAAAGAATATCAGCATTTTTGTCCAACTTGCCCGTCAGAAATGGAAGCTGTTCTTTGACATCCTGCTCGAATTCGGCATTTGAAGCTTATTTATTCCTCTACTAAATGGGTAGGTTCTGTCACAACATTTTAGTCAATTACTCAAAGGACTTTAGAAGGCTATGAATCTTACATCAATAGGATTTTCAGTCCATTAGGACAGCTCTTCTTCCATGGACTCAACACAATTAGTGAATACAAGACAGGGACTACAAATACGAACAAGGAAAACTGCTTTCAAAGATGGTAAGTATAGATATATTTCTATCTGGTACAACAGACATATTTATGAGAAGCATCATGGAATCACGATGCTCAGAGTTTTCCAGACTTCATTTATATCTAACAAGTTCTGATCTTCCAGAAGAAAAATAGAGAGTTCATTACATTAAGATAAAAACATGTAATTTCAAGGACAAGAGTGTTTCAAATATGTAATCAAGAACAACCAAATCCAAATAGCAATAAGGAAAACCTATTAAGTGACTTTACCTTTTTTGGATTTATCAATAGCATGTACTCCTATTTAAACTTTTATGTGACATTTGCTGCCAAATTTTCCAACCAAAAGAGACCTCAGAGATCATCTAGTTAAATCTCTTATGAGATTGTCAAGAAGGTAATGCCTAGTCCGGGGTCATACAGCAAATGAGATTGTCAAGATAATGAGATTGTCAAGAAGGTAATGCCTAGTCTGGGGTCATACAGCAAATAAGGGGAGATCCAGGACAGGATGAGGCTCCTGGTTTGTAAAGTTCTGACTATACCACTCTGCCATCTACCAAATCACAGACTTTTAAAAACACTAAGTGTTAATTATCAGAATAATTACCCTGATATTCAAGGGAAACTGTGCAGGTAAGGAATTAAAGGCATATCCTTGGTGATAATTTTAAAAGAATTTAAAACTAAAGAAGTAACAGTCCAATAGTTAAAAATTTTTTTCAATTCATATTTAAAACCTAACCAATTATCTCCTCTGACTTACATATATTTTAAACATATCACCAAACATCTAAATTGTCTGTAAAATTGACAAGACAGAGTTTTTTAAAATATGGAATGCAGAAAGTGTCACACAAGGAGGCAATATAATCGATCATGTGATCCTCTTACATCCCCATTTTCCATGGACTTAAACCACTTACCTCCTTAGATCTAATGGACTGATGAGGATTCTACAAATACAGGTACCTTTGACAAAACAAAGCAAATTTCTTGGCAAGGAAATGATACAACAAAATGCTTAGTCTTGTTTTGTAACAAATCTCCCCTGTATAAACTTCAGTCCTTTCAGAAGCAGTGTTCACCTGTTTGTAATTTTCAGCCCTGCAAGTTTACCCATGGTCTCCAGAAGATGTTTCATTACTAAGGATCGTCCATCAGGTGCCAGTGGATAGTACTAACTACTGACAGCCTACTGCTGGTCTGCACTTCACGCAGCAGCTTCATCATTACGCTTTGTAATAATGAACAGGGAATTTGCATCAACTACACACCATTTTGGTCATACCTGCATCAGTATGACTAAACTACCAATCTGGTGAAAAACAAAAACAAAAACAAAAGACTGAAGAAGAGCTCATTAATAATACATAATACCCTAAAAGTTAGAGACTTACAAACAATTAACTACTAACCTCTAGAAATACTGCAGTGATTAGGGGATTAAGGATGTCTGCCTTTTCTCTGACCTAGAATAAAAGACACACTGTTAAGTGAGCACCAGTAGTCAGAGTGTGATCCCACTTTGAAACACACACACACACACACACCACCTCCCCCCTCCCCGCACATAATTTAAATATAGAAAAGGTCGGGACTGAGAAAGAGCAAAATATCTCTCGAAGTGTTTTAAATTTCATTCTTTATATCCTCCTGTGCTGTCCAATTGACAGTGTATTCCTTTATAGTTTTTTATTGACTTTAAAAAGTATCTTCATTTTGGTATTGAGGAGGGCACATTCTGCATGGAGCACTGGGTGTTATGCACAATGAATCATGGAACACTTCATCTAAAACTAATGATGTAATGTATGGGGATTAACATAAGAATAAAAAAAAAAAACCTTT